ATAAATAGTCCTTGAATTATGACCAATTGCTTACCGCCAGTTTGAAGTTACAACAGATTATGCCAGGGGCACCTTTCAGGTGCTCAGCAATTGACTTGTATTTACGGCTGTTTGCAACATCCCACAGTCAAGTGACCATGTTTTTGCCAAAACAGCATTTACTCCTGTTTTTTAGCAAAAGTGGTCTATACCAAACAATTGGTTTGCTTAGCGATTCTGCAAAAAAGATTGCAAAATTAGTGACCCACAAGGGCTACCCACTTTACAACTGTTATGACTTACAACCATAATGTGCAGTTTTAAGTCAAGGATTGTCTGTACAAGGTTGTTGGTATTATAGATGTTATGAAGAAATAGAGTAAATAATTTTTACCACAACAGACAATTACTTACCTACATATAATATGCTATCCTATTCTTGCTAGATAGTGAAAAATATTTATATTTGTTGGGCTTCCTTTAGGGTTAATATAGTATCCATTTATGCATTTTTAAAATTATTAGGCTACCCATCTTAAGGTAACTCTGTCCATCACTGTTAAGATGAAAGGAATCAATTCCTTTTACACCAAGGATCTTATAATATGTTTTATTTATAGATTCTATACATAGCATTTCCAGACTTTATATTCAATTTATAGAAGCCTTCACTAGCCACTTTGCTAATTTTATTTTCTAATTAGGGATTGGTGTCCATCAAAGATAAATCTCATCAGGTGATAGTTCAGGGTGTTTATGAGCTCTATGATCTAGAGGAAACAACTGTGAAATGGAAAGAGGATGAACGAATTAATCGATTGGTCTTAATAGGTAAGAATATGGGCATGACTTATGTCGGTTGTATAAAACTATTAATTCTACAAAAAATGGTACTGTGTATGACACTGTTGTTGTTAATCCTGTTCCACTTGTTAAGTAATTACTACAACTTCCATCCCCCATAGTCTATGTGTAGTTCAAGACTAAGAGTTTGAGTCAAATTCCTAATCTGTAACCATTTGTTGATGCTCATCGCATAGTAGCTTTGTTGATTGGGTAGACTACTTCTTAGAGAAATAAAACATTGCCAAGGGGTTACGGTCTGCAGTTGTTTTTGGATTTCCACAGAGTTTGCAACTAAAGTAGCTCTAGAAAGTTTGTTAGAGAGGAATAAGTCAAAGCATGACAGCTTTTCCTTCATTAATTTACTAAAAGGCAAATGTTCCTGCAGTACAAGTTGGGAGGAGAAATATTAGAACTGGAACTAAGCCAGCCCTTCATGGAATAAGAATGCGGAGGGGGGTGGGAAACAGTGGGAGTTGCATTTGAAGGATATAACTCTTCATCCAAGCAATTCCCCCAGCATGGTCAGGACAACAAGCAGATCTGAGAAGTCTTTCTTGTCTTTGCAAAACAGTAATTGAAGTAGACTACATGAGAAGAGATGGATCCATACTGACTTGCTGGGGCTTTCTCTTACCAGTTTATCATTTGGTTTTAATAATTTTTTGGTAAGCATTGGTTGTATTTCAGGAAACAGTATTGTAAAATATTTAAAATGTTTTCAATTTTATATTATTTGTTCCTAGGAAGGAACCTGGATAATGATATCCTTAAAGACCTTTTCATAGCAACTGTGACCAAAAGAGAGGAAAATAGTTGATACCAACTTCGGAGGAAAAGTGCTTCATAACCCTGCATTTTTTACCAATGGATTATTAAAATATTTTGGGCCTATTTTCCTTTTTTAATAGTTGAGCCTTATAAAACTATTGAACATATATAAAATATCAAGTCTGAATTTGTCTAGAATTAGCAATTAATAAAGAAAATATATGTATGTCCTTGAAATGTTACTTCTCCAGTCTTTGTTCAGAATGATTCCATTATTTAAAACACACACACACACACTCTTACGGAAACGTATTCTGTACCTCTTTTCCTTCCTTTAGTCCAGGATTGTCCAACTCATATTGTCACAGCGGTGTCAGGATTTTTCCCCCCTTCGCTAAACCGGGTGGGGGCATGGCCAGCTCATGACACATCCAGCCCACGGGCCAGGAGTTTGACAGCCTTGTTATACTCCATGTTTGGTAAAGAGGTGCAAAGGTTGAACTCTTGCAGTAAATTAAACTTTGACTAGAACTATCCAATACAACCTTTACCAACTTGGAATTCTCCAGATGCATTTGTCTTCAATACCCATAATTTTCAGCCAATACGGCCAACAGATAACGGAGGTTATGTTCAGGACTATATCAGGATAAAGATTAGGGAAGGGTGCTCTAATGAACATTGAAAATAGTTTCTTTAGAGCTGGGGTGTCCAACCTTGGCAACTTTAAGACCTGTGGACTTCAACTCTCAGAGTTCCCCAGCCTTCATGAAATGAAATCTACAAGTCTTAAAGTTGCCAGGCTTGGACGCCCCTGCTCTAGAGTAATGAAATCACAGCTCAAATATGAACAGGATTCTTTAGTTTTAACACACTTCTGTTTTTTAAAGAATTGGGATGACACAACTTTATTTTAAAGTAGGAGTGTGAGCCCTCTGCTTGAAAGGAAATTTGAACCCCTCAAAGCAAGGCTAGTTCTTTAAAGAGAGAGAAAAATTGTGGCCAGTGATCCCCCTCTCTCTCTGAAAGCAAATTGCAGAAAAACATTCATATTTCACCCTTTTCCATTGTACTGTAAACTGGTTTCTGTTCAATTGCCTAATTTGGTATAAGGATTGGACTGCTATCCCAAGCACTGACTTCCTAAATCTTTAAAGTAGCACTAATTCTTTGGAAGCCACAGATATAAGGACAAATGGACCTATTACACCCTGTAATAAAACACTACTTTATTAACTCTTCTAGTTTACCAGTTGTCTGACTGAATTTCTCATCCTCAGGGTAATTATTAGTCTATCAGTGGAAGTGGCTGGTTGACCTTGAAATACTAAAATCAGACTTGTTCTTAAAGTGACATTCTAAACAAGAAGTAAAGAGTAAGATCCATTGATATAATTGCAGTAAGATTGCATAAGATCAGGTGCCCAGTACTTCTAATCCAGGGACTTGAAATAGTTCAAAAAAAGGATGTTCTTTTTTATTTTTTAATGTGATAGGAAAATAATACATTTTGGTGAATTTGATAAGTAGGTTATTTCTTCCATTCAGCTATTTAAAAAAAAAATGGATAACTGCTTTATTGTGTTCTGCGATTTCTAGAAAGAAAATCTTGGTTAATTTTGTAATTAACAAGCTATGTTGAAATTAAATGAATTTAATTAGATGAACAAGCTATGTTTTGAAATTAAATATTCAACAGTATATCTCAATAAGCAATAGCTTAACATTAGAAAGATTATTCTGAAATTTAAATATATTCGAACAGAAATGTATGAATCTACCCTAAGTTATGTTACAAGACAGTAGATGTCTTACTGCCTGATTTACTAATGGGATAAAAAGCATTAAAAAAAGAATTACTTTTACACTGTGGTGCAGTGGTGTCTTATAAATTGTTTTATTTAGTTTAATGTTGATTAATGTGCACATATAAATAAAAATAAGAATTTTGTAAATGTTACCATTCACTTCAAGCTTTGTAATCAATACACTGTTATGCAGAGTAACTTAATCCTAAAGAGGATAGGATGAATGTTCTTATTTATTTTTTTAAACACAAATATATTAGAAGCACGTGGCAGAATTTACAATGGGAAAATTACAGGGCTGGGTTGGATCAGTTCCGGAGTACTGTTGGCAAATCAGCTGAGCAAGTTGAACTTTCTTGAACTTTCTGAACCAAGTTTTCTCACCTTTTTATTATTTTGGAGTCTGGTAAGAAAACTGATGGATAATTGTTTTCCTGGCACAAATAAACAGTGCTTTCCTGGATTTATCTCTATCATACCGCATACCTATTATAGCATTTTAATATATTTTGACACCTTCATTTACTGCTTAGGCAATAGACAAGAATTTTAATGTTTGTGCTTTTGTTTTTGGTCTGGATAAGGGTTCCTCCCTCTATTTTTTAAAAAAATTAAAAAGGTTCTTTATCGGTATCTTAAAGTACTGTCCCTCCCATGATTCAAAAAACTGATTCCTCCCATGATTTGAAAAAAACCCCTCTATTACTATAAACAAAGTGCTTGTTTCTTCATCTATCGTTTCTTCTCAACCTCTACTTCACACCTTGTATAACCTGGAATACCTCCCCAGTTTATTTTTCCCACTTCAAGAATAAGCCAGGCATTCTTTCTGTAAGTGTCCAGTTTACCTTGCTTTCCAAAAATTTCCATTGCCTAGGGGCTCTTTTCCAGAATACTCTCTGATTTCTGGATCGTAAGCCACCAGAAAATAGGATTGGCTTTCAAGAAGTCATGCATTTTTTAACCAACATTCAATTACCCAAAAATGGAACAAAAACCCTTAAACTTTTAAGCCCAATAATTAGTTTTAACAGTTCCTACTTCTTTCATATAAACATTCCAAATATTCTTTATTTCAGCTAATGGACTGATTGGACCACACCTTCCATCACCTATCACCTATCATTCTGTTATCAAACAGAATGCATCGTTTGGAGAGCTGTGCCATGCCCCTCTTTAAAACCCAATTCACACCTGACACACGGATAGGAGTTCTGAGTTCACCTTTCTATCCGGCATTTCTATCAGAGTCAGAGGTGAAAGTGGGGGGGTGTCCCCTCCGATGCGCTTCCCCGACACCCCCCCTTCCCCAAGGATGGGAGCATGCCAATGGAAAGGGGGACCCGCCCTCTTCAGGTGACAGGGAGGGTGGAAACAGGGCCATAAAAGACCCCACGGCCTCGAAGCTGGGCCATTCGGTTGCACCGGCTTGCAGGCAGGTCCCCCTCGCCCCCTCTTCGTGACGCGCGTGGGTCTCCCCTTCCTATGAGCCCGTCTGGCGAGGACCATCTCCGAGGAGGTCGGAGTTCAGATGGGGAGGAAAGTCCCGGCTTCTTGGGCGAAAGCTGCCGCCGGGGATGTTCGACCCGTCCCAAGGAGATGCGGAGCGGTGGCGCCGGGAGCAGCCAGCCTAGCGGGGCAGCGGAGAAAAGGGCTCCCGGAGCGGAGGCGACGGCCCCCGAGGGGCTGGCCAAGCCCCCTTACTCCTACATCGCGCTGATCACCATGGCCATCCTGCAGAGTCCGCAGCAGCAGCTGCCCCTCAGCGGCATCTGCGCCTTCATCCGCGGCCGCTTCGCCTACTACGGCCGGCGCTTCCCCGCCTGGCAGAACTCCATCCGCCACAACCTCTCGCTCAACGACTGCTTCGTCAAAGTGCCTCGGCAGCCCGGCAGCCCTGGCAAAGGCCACTTGTGGCGCCTCCACCCGGCCTCGCAGGGCATGTTTCACAATGGCAGCTTCCTCCGGCGCAGGCAGCGCTTCAAGCGGCCCGCGCCCCCCTCCTCCGCCGGGATCCTGCTCTTCCCACCTTCCTCTGGTCCCTTACTGCCTCCGGCGGTGGGGCTTCTGCCCGCCTGCGCCTCGCCGCCCCCGCCGCCGGCGGAAAGAAAAGCCGGGGCGGCCCGAGGGCCCGTGCAAGCGGGGAAGGGGCGCCAGGGTCCCGGGGAGGAAGAAAAGCGGCCCCCGGGGGAGGTGGGCCTGCAGGGCGGCGGCGACAGGTGCTCCTTCAGCATCGAGAGCATCATGAAGACGGCGCCCGCCCTGGTGCAGCTGAGCGCTTGGATCCCCTCCTCTGCCGCCGCCGCCGCCTGCAGCCGCAGACAGGCTCTGCTCTCCCACCCGGAGCGCCTCGTGGCTTCGTGGAAGTCCTTGCTGGCTCCCGGCACCCGTCAGGGTCCCACAGCAACGCTGTTTGCGGGTCACTCAGAGTTGATCCTCAGCCCGTCTCCTGCCTTCTAGATCCGCGCTCCCTTGCTCTTACCGGACTTTGCAAATTGCTTGCAGGCGGCAGTTGCAAGGAGACGTCGGATCTTTAATCTGACCTCCGGTTGATCTGCTTTAGCAAGCCCCCAACCCCCTCGAAAACTGAAGGGGGGCTCCTTAAATTGGGAGTCATTTTCCTCCTTCGCACCACGCCGATTATGGTGTCGTGTTCCCCCCCACCCCAAAGCATCCTACATAACGTCCTTCAGGCAGCGATTGAGCAAAGTTTACATGTGCTCCACATCTAAGGATCCACTTTAATGCAGTGAAGTGTGATAACTGGAAAGAAAGAAAGAAAGAAACTTGTCAGACTATCCTTCTGATTTCTAATCAGAATTGGATTGGAGCTGAACTCATGCCAAGGGACTTCTTATTTGGCTGTCAACAAATGGACAGACTCAAATATGAAAGGGCTAAATTGATAAAAGATATTCCATTTTATGAACAGCATGAGGCACTTTCATTCCCAGGTTTTGCATTTACCTCCTCATAAAAACTTGTTTGTGTTTCCTTCCGGTTCAGCAGAAGACTAGGTCCTCTTTTTTTCTTCCCAAAATATTATGGGTTATTCTGGAGACAGCATTAGTCTGGTCCTTTTCATCTATCCTCCCATGTCTACCAATATAATGGTGTATTCCTCATTAATGATTGTAATCACTCACATTAAAGCTATATAAACCCTACAATCCAAGAAAGTAACCAAGTTTGAAGCTGATCCAAAGAGAGACAAGCTCTATGCAGAGGCCAGATGTCCAGGAATCTTCCATTAGATTTGTTTGTCAAACATCAACAGGTTGTTTAGAGCGGCTAAAAATCATAATTCTTTTTGTTATTCCTTACATTCTACTTTCATTCATTTGGTTCAGTATTCCTCCTAATTCTCAGCAACTATAAATTAGTTTTTAACCAAAAAGATCTCGTTTGCATTTCTACTTTATATTTATTTCTCATCCCTTAGTTTATTCTTTTTACAAAGTATCAAAACGTATTTTGAACTCCAGGCAAACAATTATAGTAGTATGAGTTAGACTGTCTCTGGTGTGGGAGTCAAAGATTGGTATTTCTCATGTCAACAGATAGATCAGTATGTATTATGCAATCTTTCTTAGGCATCAAGAAGTATCCTATTTAATTTAGTTCTGTAATACGTCCCGCAGCAAAATTTCAAGGGTCAGCTATGAATACAATTAACTTCTATTCCTGGAATGGAGGGAACCTCATTTTATTATTTGCTTCAGACAACAAGATAGTTTTGGATGAATTTTTCTTCAATTCAATAAAAAAAAGTTAATGGAGAGCAGACTGCAGGAAAGCTAAGATAAAGATTGCCAGTGACCTAGCTCATCTGCTGGGATAGATGGAAAATTAAGCATCCTATGTCATCTGCTTGCTTTTTAATATCAAACATATTCTAGGTTTTACATATGAACTTGGGAGATCTGGATTTTACCAAAACAAACTGTTATCACCTCTGTGAGACTTATGTAAAGGCAAACTATGTGTTATACAGAATCAAATAATAGACTATGATATTACTAAAAACATTTTTGGGAAATTTAGAAAGTTATCTTTTTAATGTTCTGCACATATAAAAATTCCATTTGCAATAAAGTAGTAGATTAGAGGAGCCATGTTAATTTTGGGTGGTTCTTTGTGTGTAAGTTATATGTAAGATTTTTTTTTCAATGTGGGGAGAATTTTTTAAAATATCATACAGTACTACATCTGTGTGTAAAATTTGCTCTCATTTTTGGTTGTGGTTAAGTGTATGTTTAGGCTAAACATTATCTCATAGCCCCAGATTGCGGAATCAAAAAACATCTATCTACTAGCCCACACTGGACCAGTAAGGCAAAATACAGTCCATAATCTTCAATGAAGAAGCTTTCACTCTGCAGCAGAATGATTTCAGTTGATAAAAAAAACCCACATCTTTTCCTATCAGATTGTATTATATTAAGCATTTATAGTTCCATGCTTCTTTATGCAACTTTCAATTTCTGTACAGCTTTTGCATTTAACATCAAGCTTCTAACCATACTTATCAACACAGGTTTTTGCTTATACAATATGTTAACTATAAATGGCAAAATATGTCAAAGCAGTTGGAAAACAGCTGAAGATGGCACTTTATCCTGCAGTGGATTGACCTGGGCTAACAGTGAAAACTATGTGTGTCTGTCTGTCATCTATCTATCTATCTATCTATCTATCTATCTATCTATCTATCTATCTCTATCTATCTACCTACCTACCTACCTACCTACCTATCTAGCTATCTATCAACATCCATCTAAACATATATGGATGCATACACACATATACCTATGACTTAACTTTATTTGAAAATTTGTCGATAGCATACATATATTACAAGTGCAACCGATTAAAGGATATAAGATATATTTTATTAACAAAAAACAAAACTGCTTCTCAATTTATTTTAATAGTGGATAACAATTTTTTTTCAAGATTACCACATTTTTTATACAGCTGAACTATACTGTTCTGATTAAGGTTATGTGTATCTTGAAAAAATATAGTATACAATTAAGATTTTTCACTCCAGGTGGCGCTATTTAACCACTTTCTCAGGTATTTTTAAAAGTTTAAAATACAGGCTGTTTTGGATTTCTGTTGTCAGAATACTTGTTTGTTTTTCAAATTATTAAATATTATTTTGATTTTTTATTACTGTATTCTAGGATTGGTGGCATTATTGTGGATGATTTATTTAAGGTTTGCTCCAAGAAGAAAAGCAGCACTGGGTAAGTTTCTGAACCTGCTGGCTGCTGCCCAGTATAGGGTTTAAAGGGAGGAAGAGAAAAAAGGGATGCAAAATAGTGAGATTAACATTATGAGTTTTATCTGGAATATTTGCTACTATTTTTGCAGATTTTGTCAGAAAAACATCTTGGGCTGAAAAGATTTGCATTTCTACAGTACTCTCCCTTTAATTACCCTCCATTTCAAATATATTAGCTCTAAAACAATACTTACCCCGAATATTAAGAAAAGCTTAGAATTATACATACACAATGATATCTGATTAATGCAATCTCATATCAATATCATAGATTAAAATACATATGCATATCTTAGCATGTGAATATTTTTAAAGTAATTACAAGAAGCGAGCTGCATAAAAATAGTATTTTTTCTGATGATTCACAAAAATTATTTTACTTTTTCCATAACTTTAATTCCCAGGAGCTTATTGTAACATTTCACAAAGATTATTGGCAGTTATTCAACACTTAGCCTTTCTATGCAGAACATTCAGGCAGTTAAGAAAGTACCCAATACAGCAGTGAAATAAACAGAAAATATCCATATGTAATGTAACAGGGATTTATATTACAATTGTTTTATTTTTCATTATGTCTACATGTTAAACAATTTTTAAGATATCTCAGGACAAGAGATAAGTGTTCATAATAAAAAATATAGTAATAGAATTGATAGAGCTTTTCACTGAAAGTGGAAGCTGGATGAAGTAGAAAATCTAGCAGATGCTAAATAAGTTTATCTTTTAATTTTTTTTTATGTCCACAGGAATGGTTCTATTTACCCTTGGTTTAAATAGAAAACTGGTAAATGTGCATTCTGAACTTACAAACAAGTTTTTTTTTTATATATAGTGAAAGGAAAAAGAAGAAACATTATTCCAGAAATTTCTTTTGCCTCTTTGTAAATCCCAAATAGTTTTCCAAAGCTTGCTTCACAATAATTAGGTTTGGCAACAACCTTTGTAAAGGAAGAACATGCACAGTAATCTTTTGCTGCATATCTCTACTTGCAGAAATATAATGGAAAGTAAGCTTAAACTAAAAGCATTTGGTAAACCTGCCAAGAGTAGAAATTGAGAAATCTGATACCTTCGTTTTCAAACATGATTTATGCACTGTGGCTGTTCTAATGCTCCATATGAACTGACTGAACATCCTAGAATTTGTTTCAGGCTGTTTTCCAATATGCAAGTCTTACATTACAAACATGGTACCGTACTACCCCACCCTTTATTTACACTTAGGGTGGTGCTTAAACCATTTCATCATTTATCTGAAAGTGATGAATTTCTGGTTTCCAGAAGACATTGTATTTCTTCGTGTTTTGTCCTCACATATATATATATACTTAGCTTCCATTTGATGTTTTTCTCCAAATACTGGTGGTCCTTATTAACTGAAGTGCCTTGTTTAGTGACTGTTTGCAGTTACAACTGTGATGAAAAAGTAATTTTACTACCAGGCCCTGCAATTACTACTTTGACAGGTCTGTAAAGCAATAGAAAGCTGAAATGACATCGTAAGCACAGTTGCAGCTTCACTTAGTGGCTGCTTCACTTAACTCTGAGTTGCTGATCTAATTGTGGTCACTAAATGAGGGCTTCCTGTAAGCATAGTCTTGTAGATAAGTTTAAAATCAAGTATTTCAGCTAAACAAAGCTGTTAAGCAAGTTGCAATTAAATAATTCCTATTTCTTGATTAACATTTAAAAAATTCAAACTGGTCTATACAGCACACAGTATTTTAAGGTCCTTTATCCTTTTTCTCTTCCTGTAATTAATGCCACCCATTGAGTCAAGAGGTTTCATCAGTGATTAAATGCATATCACAATGTACATAAAGTTCTTCATATACGTAGGTGCATACAAAACATGAGATATAGATGAAAGGAGTAGTTTGTGTGGGGAGATCACAACTTTTCCATTATTTTCCTTTGTGTACATTCATGTTCTAATAGACACCTTCTCAAAGATAATAATGATGGTGTCCACCCTACTCCCTGTTCCATAAACTAGCAGATAATATGAAACTGGGTAGACTAAACCATGAGGTTTACCATGGGTAAGCATGGCATGAAAATATCACCCCTGCCTGTGACTTTATATGGAGTAAGCCTGGTGAATTCCTTCCTGCAATGTCTACAATCAACAGCTGCCCGACCAAAACTTGCTGGTTAGAATTCCTGAGGTATAAGTTTATCCCATTTAAACATACAGGAGAAATACTCACAGTATTTAGGAACTTTAAGCATAGGAATATGCTTATCTTCCCTTGACATGATAAGAAACTGAATTGTTGTATGTCAGTCAGTGTTCTCTTATTGTGATGTATTTTTTTCTTCCATATTCTCTTCCAGCCAGTCTTGTCCCTAACTATCTCTGGCATCATCGGAGTAATGGATCCAAAATAGCACAGTGAGGAAACAGTATATTATTTATTGGGTAAGTTTAGATTCTGAACTTAATGGTCTTACTGCTCTTTGGATGGTAAATTGTGTTAAGATTAGAATATGTTCTAGTTTAGTCAGGGCTATCCCAATTTGGGGCTGAGAAGCCTACTGGCATAAAAAAAAGTCCTTATCGAGTCCTTATCTAAGGGTTTGAAAATATGATAATAATGTAGTACAGTCCTGTCAATCTGGTGCATGGAGACCTAGGATTTAAACTGAAAGGAGAAAGAGGAAAAAGTGATTCCTTCTTCTGAAATAAGCCATTACGGAGTAGCTTCCATTTAACCACCAAAGATGTTTCTTTATTTTCTCTGGCTGGATTTCTGACCCAGGGGAGAAAGACCAAATTCATTTAAAAAAGCAAAAAGGACAGAAAGAACACCAAGAAAGAATGGGACAACCAAAAAAAAAGAGAGAATAACCCTGAATAAAATTCTGTGAACGTTATATTTTGCATCAGTCTTCTTTTCTTCCACCTTCCTCTCCTTTCCTTGTTATCTTACACAGTGCAAACCCCAAGGAGGGGCTCGTAAAATTACTGATTTTAAAGAGCCATTATAGCAACTTTATTTGGCTGAAGAACTAAGCAGATAATGTTTAATTCATTACCATTTGGAGGAGACTGCTTCCAATATTACAAAAAGGAAAACCCTAACCTTGTTTTTAAAGTATTTTCAAAAATGCTGACTTGAAAACTCACCTGCTACCAAGGCCCAAAGTAAACCGGAGGTGGGGGGGGTGTTACTAAACCAAATCCAAGTTATTAAAGGAACCCAACTGCACTGTCAATGCTGGCGTGTCATGCGATCCCTTGGAAATACATAACCTTTCATCCTGGTTGATCCCATTGTCCTAACAGAACATTGTCCTAATGCTTTTAGCATGTGTGTGTATGAGCAAACTTCCACCCCCCTTCCACGCCTTATGCTCTCTTTTAGCTGATCCAAAAGAGTCTTCCCAAACCAGCAAGGCGAGAAGCGCGCCAGGCTGATCTATAAAGGGGCTGGGCAGCTTTGTGCAAAATAGAAAGTTGGAGGACTGACAGGATGTGATCCTCTGGAACAAATGTCTTTCAGAGAGAGAGAGAGACGCCCCAGCTTCTAGTTACATCTCTGGCAGCGGACAACAATTCTCAGCTTTGCTTACCAGGGTTATTACTGGCCGAGGCTGCCGCCTGCAAAAGAGGCTTTGCCAGCCCCCTCGTGTCCTTCTTTGAAAAGGGCAGCTGGCTTGTCCCGGAGGACATTGCAGAGAGGGAGAGCGCGGGGCAAAGCGGCTGCGAGCGCCCCGGGCGGGAAGAAGCCTCTTGCTCGTTGCTTTCCTGAAGCGAACTTGCTAATCGGCATCATGCACAGCTACGGGACGCCGAGGCAGAACGAGGATTAAGGCGGGAAAAGAGGCGCGGTGGGGTGGCTGGGCAGGGCGGGGCGGCTCTGGGAGCTCATCCTTCTCCTAAGGGGAGCGCCGCGGGCGAGAAACATCGCCGCGCCGATCGAAAGAAGCTCCTCGCCGGGATCCCGTGCGGGCTAGAAGCCGAGCGCCATGGAGGGAAGCCCGATCCCAGTGCTGACCATGCAGACGGTCCCGTACGAGGACCAGAAGCCGACGGGCGGCGGAGGGCTGAGGAGGCCCACCGCGGTCTTCGAGGGCCAGCGCAATTACTTGCCTAACTTCATCCAGAGCCTGCTGTCCTCCATCGACCTGCGCGACCGCCAGGGCTGCACCATGGTGGTGGGCAGCGACGGCAGGTACTTCAGCAAGACGGCCACCGAGGTGGTGGTGCAGATGGCGGCAGCTAACGGGGTAAGGGCGGCGCCTCCCTTGGCTCCTCCGGAGCTTGGTTGAAGGCGGACTTTTCTCCAGCGGGATATCACCCACCCAGCACGTCTAACTCGGGTCATGAGGATGATAGTAGGGCAATCTGTCCTTCTTATCCATTTTGGAGAATTCTGAATTCACAAAGAGGTTGGATCCAGTTGATCTTGAAAAAACCAATTCATAAGGTCAACTGGATCCGATCTCCTTTTGAATCTTCAAGTTGTCATTATTCTAGTGGATAATGGATTGGATCCATAGGGTAATAGATCTGCAGTCCATGATTTATTCTATCACATCTTATTACAGATGCGTAGAATATATATTCTGTCACACGCCATCTGGCCTTCTGTTATCCATAGCTTCCATCCAATTCATTTATATCTATAATGGCCCATCCTTTCCTTTGTAGATCTGTTTGCTAGCCTGCCCTTCATTGCTCCACCTGTGTAAGTTCCTGACTGTTGTAGTGTGCTACAGGACTTGGTGTACTGACTGGTTTGTTGTGAATGTTAGAAAACAGCTGTTGATAGTTTACAGTTTACTGGGGTCTATTTTGGAAGCTCACTAAGTTTTCTGTGTTTGACATATTGAGTTTGACATATTTACTCCAATGGTATATGGGAAAAATGCAGTGGTTTTTCACTGTGTTATCTTGCCTTCCACCATATCTATCAAATTGTTTTTTTCACTGTGTTATCTTGCCTTCCATCTTATATATCAAATTGTTCCAAAGTCTTTGTCTAATTTCTCCCCTCTAGTGTAGCGTTCCATTGATTTTGTTATTCACTCAATCTGCCTGATCATGTAGTTTGCCTATGGCATGCTTTCAGCTGTTCCAGCCTTTTCATGACCTACCATGAAAGTATTAGACACCAACATTTTAGCCTAGCGTATAGTGCAAACTCAGTCTGTTTGGTTAATTCAGAGTGTTATGTGAAACCAGAAGTTGTGTTACTTGTGGTGAAATACGTGTAAGTTGTGAGAATTCAGCCAGTATTCACTCTTGTAATTTATATTTCCATAATTTCATAGAATAAGGAGGAATTGAAGTCTGTGAGGTGAAAAGTTACAGTTTCTCAAGCATGGTTACCTACATTCCTTTGGTTTAAAAGAAGTTCCATCATACCAGTAAATCTATTTAGGAAGAAATATGTGCACTTAGACATAATTAAGGCCGATTTATAAGTTCAAAACCCATAATTTCAATGTAACAAGGATATGTTTAATATCCAAGCTATACATATTGAATAGTTGTATTTTTGAAGGCTACACAGTATATTTCTGGCTCAGTGACATCTGCCTGACCTTTTTCTTGGCTTGCAGAGAATAAGGAATCACCCTCTGAAGAGACAATAGTACATTTGCTGTGGGAACGTATTGGAGACAAATCTGCCTTGGAAGGAAATTAGAACGTTCAGCCAAACCCTCTGCAAATGTCTTTTATACTTTTACTGAATAATTTTGACATGTTCCTTGTTATGCTCTTTACAAAGAGAGAGATAATCTAAAAAAGGAGTGCCCACCCTTTTTATTTTCTACTGATATTAAGCTGGATTTGATGGCGCACTTCTTGGCACCTCGGTAGATTGCTCACTTCCACAACAACACACAAAAAAGTTTATGAATAACCTATAATAAACCAGATATAAACTTGAATAGACATAATCTGAAGCTAGCGACTGTAAAGAGCAAAGCACAAATTGGAGATAAAGGAGATTAAAAGCTAGAATAAGCAAAACCAAACAGGGTGCTAATGAGATAGCATGATTTCCAAGGCTAAATCTATCTTACCTGTAGGATTTTATCAGATGAATTGTAAATGCTGTCTCTTCCTCTTTTACTCCAGATTAAGGCACAAACATGGCCCGGTAATGTTTTTTTCTGCCATGTTAGTTTTTCACTGCCAGCCCTCTTCCCAGCTCCAGTCTCTGACAGGCATCCTTCCCTTATTCAGGTCTAAATTTTATCTTTGTTTGTTTTTTTGTTCTGATATAATTTTAATGGCTAAAGTTTGTTACCCTTCACTGACCATTTGATTGCTGATGTGGTTGGGTTTAGGATTTCCATAGTTGTTGTTGTTGTTGTTTTGTCACTTTAGATTGCTGTAGTTATGCTCCTTTCTGGCTGGTTGCTGGGTTTGGTCCTCTGTGTCCAATTTGGCTTGGACTTCAGAGACCTCTGCTCGATAATGTCTGATTGGTGTTTTGCATAAGACTTTTCAGGTCTTGGATGGATTCCTCAGACAGTAAACATAGCAGGGGTCCTCAACCTTGGCAACTTTAAGACTTCAACTCCCAGAGTTCTTTAGCCAGCTTTGCTAAGCCGTGGCTAAGCTGGCTAAGGAACTCTGGGAGTTGAAGTCTAGAAGTCTTAAAGTTGCCAAGGTTGGAGACCCCTGAAACAAAGAACAAATCCTTGTTGCACAGAAGAGTTAGTTGGATAGAACCCATTGGTCTAAGCTATTCTCTGTACTCACTTTGCCCACTTAGGGAAAGTGATTGATGGCCCACAGGTAACACATGAAAGAAGGAGAATCCACCAGTCCCTTGTCTTAACCTGGTACACAATAGGTAAGGATAATGCAATCTGGTGACTTTGTTTTATGGTAAAACAGGAATCTGAATGGGCCAGTCAACATTTTGCTGACATATTGTTTTGCTGACTAAAAGCCGTGTGAGTTCTGATTGGAATAGTTCCTGGAAAATATTTTAACTAGCCTAGGATATAATTGATCACCCACAAAGCATGTACTTGTTCCAGTAGATTCTTTCTTTATCCCGTCCCATTACTTGGATATTTTTTCCATACTGTACAGAATCAGCACTTTAATTCCCTCCCCCGTTGCTTTGCATTTTGGAGCCCACTGGTTAAATATTCCAAATTGCTGACATTAAAAAACATCTAACCTTTCCTCTGTTGTATCACATCAGACTTGACCTTCCCCATAAAATACCCCGTTTTCCCAAAAATACAATCTACCCTGAAAGTAAGTCCTAGCTTGATTTTTACATGTGCACCCAATATTAAGCGCTACTCCCAAAATAAGCCCTAATTAAGATCCCACACACTCCAGAGTGGATGGGTAATAATTAAGCTAGGGTTGGGATGGGGGGGTGGGGGGTGGAGCAGTCCTACTACTTACCTTTGGACAGTTGTAGCCAGGCCTCGCACATCCCAACACCAGCCTTGCTAGCCTATTTCTTCTGCAGCCAGCAAGGCTGGCAAGCTTTCCTGAAGGCCTCTGTAGCTGCTAACAAAACTCCGGAACAATCTGGAGCTCTGTTATCGGATGCAGAGGCCTTCAGGAAAGTCTTACTGGCCGCAGAAGAAGTTCTTGAAGCCTCTGTCAGTGAAAAGGAGGCCAGGGGCGATGTGCGCTAGTGAGGTTAGTCAGGGGATGACCTCTCCTGAAAATAAGACCTGGTGCCTTTTTCTGTGGCAAAAAATATAAGGTGGAGTTTTATTTTCGGGAAAACACGGTATGTCAGGAGGACAGATCAGGCTACTACATTGTAATCATTTATTTGTGATTATTTTATTATAACTGCAGGTTATAGTGCTGCTATTTTGACATCATAGTTGTAACCATTTCCTTATCACATGCCACCATAATTTAGAATTAGTTAAATGTTCATTATATTCTTGAAAAATCTGGCTTGTCATGAACGCTGAGACTTTCTTCTTTTAATCTAATCTTGTTAAATTTGTTGAGGAAAAAATATAAGTGACAGAAACAATCTGTTCTTATAGTTGTGGAATGTGGGAAAGAGCTGAAGAACATGCTTTGTATGGGAAAAAATTCCATGTTTGATCCAGAAACTTAAAAACATGCCTCTTATTTGACTGTTTGCCAGTAATGGCAGTTATGAGCCAGAAGCATTAAAAATACAGTATTACTTTCTATAAGACAGCTTTCAGTTTCAATGCACTACAACATTTGATTACACTGGGAAAATATTAGCTGGTTCATACGTTGCATTAAGCAGTGTTTTTTATTAATTATGGTTTATTGACTAAATTACAGTCGGCCAGTATCACACAGTAAGGTAAGCCATGAAAACTGGTTGAGAAACCAAAATGGACAGTGTATGGAGATTCTCAATCATCCAGATCATGATTGTCCTAAAAGTGTTTTCCCAAAAGGCAACTGGACTTTCTTGTTTTTTTTTTCTTTGAAAACATTTTGCTTCTCATCCAAGAAGCTTCTTCAAACAAGTTACTTTAAGTGATGTGAACTTGGCTGTTATGAAGAACATATAAGGAATAGAAAAATAAAACCTTGGCAGCATCTGAGACGTTCGCAATCTTTTTGTCTATGGCTATATCAAAGTTAATTTATTGGTTTAAATATATGACAATTATGAAACAGGTTGGTTGAAGTGGCAATTCCTAGACTTTTCCTTAACAAGTCACTCAGAATTTTATGTGACTATATGTTTTATATTTTTCAAATTATATATGGGACATTAGAATTTTGATAATAGTGCCTTGACTGAATACTGATAGACAGAAATAGTTTTACATTCCACGAAATGTATTAAAAGTCAAGGCATTTTAAAGGTTTTTTTTAATAAACTATGGCATTTTGATTTTAAGGCAAGGCACAGAGAATTTAGAACAATCCATTATTTGAATGTATAGGGTTTGCTAGCTCAAACATTCTAGACACTCTGGTCAAGTATGCTTTAAACATGTCCCAGTTTCTTCAGCTGATTTTTATTTTTGTTAAAAGAAAAAAAAACATAGCATTTTGAGAAATATTCTTCTATGGTTTCCGAAAAGGAGTTGCATGATTAAAAGCTCCTTCGCACACAACACACTCCCACCACAGCTAGACTGGGCATTGGTAGAAGTTACCGTGAACGCCCTTTCTATCTATGCTGCAAGAGAGCCCAGGATGGGTTGACTCCTTCCTATGACATCATTTAGCTGAGTCTGTACTAAGATATAAAAGCCAGCCCCCGGGAGAGACCCCAGCTTTGGCG